GTTCAGAGCCGAACTTCTACATACATCAGGGGATTTTAATGTAACTTGGCACAAATGTTCACCATTGTGAGGCTTATTGTGCACATAATCCAGGTCCCTGCTACCACAGTCAAGGTCACATAGACAGGTCAAAGTTTGTGTACGGGGATCATTTAGTCATCATTTATTGATGGATTGTAACACAAATGATAACTATCATGATTACAAGTGTGACACATGTAATTTAGGTTAATATTTGCAAGGTGAAGGTCACTAGAGATGATAAAATAACCAGATATTTTCCTGAAATTGCCCAGAGCATATCTCTTATATGCATATTTATAATGCCCACATCTCTGTCAAAAGCTTTTGTGACTGGCGCATTTTGCGACAATATTGCCCTTGTTTTTCCTTGCATAGAAATGGCAAATGACCCAAAATGTGTATATAAGTGTTTAAGAGCATATCAAATGCTTATAACTTGAAGAAATTAGTACTGAAAGTGAAATTATTTGCCATAAAAGAAGCCAAATGTAAACATGGTAGTATTTTGTCTTCAAATACAAAATACTAATTAAACTGCTATAATTGTTGTTCTAAATGCCAAAAAGCAACAGAAACAAAAGATAGTTCTGGTAATTGGCCATTGAGTAACATTTTAGAAACTATTTAACATACAAAACACCACGAGTAAAGATATTTTAAGAACTAAAAATAAAAGCATTTCTGGGGGAATAATAGGCCTTTAAATTTCTTTGCAAAATTATGTAACAAATCTTGAAATAGAATAAGCCTTGCAACAACTTTAATCTTGTATACAAATTTAGCATTTTGGCTTCATGCAGAATACATGTTTGTATGTGAATATTTAAGTATTAAAGTGACTCCACTGACGTTTTTGACATGACGGGACTTCAAATAATTTTTCGAGATAAATGTTCCATTTGATGTAGGTCTAGACCAATAACTTGTGTGCCAAATTTCAGATAATTTTTTCACTCCGTTTTTTTTTCCAAAATGATTATTCAAACTGTGAAAAATGATCAAAAACAATAATAATAATAGAAAAAGAATCGACAGTGTTGCAATACTTTTCACTCAAATTTGGCTAAAATAGCACAAAAACATGATTTTCAATATATTTTCAATATATTCTGAGTATATTTCTTTAATATCTTTTGCATATCTGTCTGTTTTAAGTGCCTCAGAATATATTTCTTTAATATCTTTTGCATATCTGTCTGTTTTAAGTGCCTTAGTTGATCTATGCAGGAAAATCAAATTTTATGTAATTAGGCATTTAGGCTTTTGGACCTCAGTGGAGTTCCTTTTAAGCTACACCTATTGAAATTTAGGTAGAAAATAAAGGCTGATGAAAAATGTCATACCTATTGTAAAAACAGTTTTCCTTTTCTTTACTGTTGTCAGGAATGCCAAAGAAAAACTACCTTACAAACACTTTACCACTCATGCAATCAGCGTTTAGTGATACTCAAACGGGTGGTTACGGGGACCAGTCCTTCAAAAGATACAAACCTGTCTCTAGATTGACGGAGGAGGAAAAACAGAGGCGGAGAGAGATGGACAGAGAGAGGCAGCGAAGACATAGGGAGCGAATAAAGGCCATCAATTTCATGTTCCAAAATTAGTCTGTGAAAGTTTTTGATAATCATTTTGATGCCAAAAATGAAAACGTGTTCAGATTGGCCAACTTTCTGTCATATATTCAATTTTTAATGAAACAGCCTTTGCCTTCAGTGATTAAATAAAATTTGAAAAGAATACTTAAAACTTTCTGTTACACCAAAAGTTGAGGTCAGGCATTAAATTCTGTGTCATATTTATACATTTATGGAAAGGAATGGCCTGTGAATTTAATGATAATGCTGGGAAACTGTAGACTGTGTTACAGTTTTTGTGATACCAGTGCGAGGAATTGTGGACTGTGTTTTTGTGGATTCATATGGACATACCAGCAGATGGTGAATCCTGAACGAAAAATTATGAACTGTTTTTTGTGTGAATTCATCTGGATTTCAGTGCAGGTTGGATACTGCATCAGAAATTATGAACTGTTTTTGTGTGAATTCACGTGGATACGAGTACATGGTGCATTAACCAACAATTGTTACGATAATTCATATGGATAATTCTGTCAAATTCGAGCAGTGTGCATAACATACATGAACCTATTTTACGACGGCTTTAAAATATTAAAGGGGAAAAATTACACAAAGTTAAGATCTGTAACAGCATGAAGATATGAACTGACAAAAAGCTGTACTTAGCAAAATTATTTGCCTGACAACAGTATTGAATTAGACAATATTTATGTAACATTAGAAGGAGTCAGTTACATTGTTAATCTAAATAAACAAATGTCTACAATTTATAATTGAAAGCTGAAATTAAAAAGCATTTATTATAGTACATCTTAGAGGAATTTCACTGAGGTCAAAAAACTTAAAAGCATCAAAACTGATATTTCTTACACAGATCAGCTGGTCACTTAAAAAGGAAAGATATGCAAAAGATATTAAAAAAATATTATACATATGAAATTGTGCCTTTCTTGTGTACCAACGCTTTTCAATTTTGGGTCATTTTGCACAATTAGAATAATAATTATTCTGGAAAAAAACGGAGTGAGCAGAATCATCTGAAATTTTAAACATGAAATGGAATATTATCTGGAAAAAGTTCTTTGCAGACTCATTATATCAAATTAAAAAAAAAATATTACTTGAATCTTGAATGTTTCTACCTTTCTTAAAATCGAAGTACATATTCCCCAAATTTGATTTTCTAGAAATATTTTGGCTCATCTGGAGGCATGCAGCTTTAAGGGATATGATTACATTTTATTCTTTCAACGGTAATTGCCAATTAAATATTGTGTTAATTATGTATGGATATGCTTTTTTCACTACATAATTAAAATTTTATGCTTTGTTTTGCATGAATTCTATAAAAAATAAAAAGAATAAACTTCAAAACTGTAGTCTACCTTTGCATTTTCTACATTTGCATTTTCTTCATGAAATTTCTCGTTTACTTGAGTCAGCACTTACTTTACTAAGGTAAACATTCTGTAATCCAAAAACGAGTGTTCAAATAGGACAAAACCTTAAGTTACTTAGTGGTCTATGCATTTAAATGATTTCAATATCAAATTATTGAAATGTAGGAAAAGCTTATAGTATAAATGCCAGTCAGAGACTTCACATTCAGTGCTACTTTCTACCAGTGATAGGCTTCTAACATGCTTTAGAGCGGCCTTCAGCTTTTCTAAAGGTAACTATGTTATTTTTAGAAAAATCGTTTCGTATAATTGTCAAATCAAAAGAATTAAGATGGAAAATGAAATTTGCCGTTGATAAAATACATAGACAAGAATAAAGAAACCCTGTCAATACCTCTAATATACCGGTCTGCTTTCTATATTTAAAATTCATTTCGTGGTCTCATATTTTAAGAAACAAATGCTGCTGACTTTTTTGAAGAAGGCTAAGAACAGTGATATGATGCACTTTTCCAAGATAAAATTATTGAAATACTTAATTTGAAACAACCTAGAATTGTTTTTCCTACAGAAAATAAAAACTGAAGGCCTCTTTTAAATCCATCAGTAAAACATTATTAAACAGTCAATTGCTTGTCTCTTCTGAAGAACAAAAAATATTGATTGTTGAAGCATAAAATACCTTTATGCTCACTATACTCAAAACCAATAGGTCTTTGATATTATTACTGTAGCTTGCATAGTTTTACAGTGATGCTCCCCGAATAGGTTTTGGACACAGAAAAGTTTACCTTTTGTAGTTTCAGAGTTATGGTCCAGACAAAGTTCAAAGTGCAATAATTCCAAGCTTAAACAAGACAGAGTTTTTGTTCTTTGCACTGCACTTCTACTCAATGAGATCTATCTACCGACTTAATTTCTTGATATTGATACCCTCTTGTAGTTTCACAGTAATGTCACGCACAAAGATCAAAGTGAAAAAGAATGGACAAAGGACAATTACTCCAAAAATAGGCAAGGCAAAGTCACGGATCATTTTCACTGCTCATCTACCCAATGAGATCTATCTACCTGCAAAGTTTTTAGTTGATATCTCTTACGGTTTCAGAGTAATATCCCAGACAAAGATCAAAATGTAAAAATGAACAAAAGGCAAAAACTCCATAATTAGGCAAGGCAATGTCACGGTTCTGTTTCACTGCTGATCTACCCAATGAGATCTATCAACCTTCAAAGTTTTATGATGATATATCTTAAAGTTTTAGAGTTATATCAAGTTCAAAGTGTAAAACTGGTTTCCTTAAACCAGTTGTTTTTAATGTTGGTTTGTAAAGATCAGTGCTTTTTCGGAACACAAATGTTGTGTGAAGTTAAAAGTTATTTTCTTCCAAATGTTCCAGATCAAAGCCGCCAGGAACGTAAAAATCAAAATATTTAAATTAATACCCCGAAGTCGCTGTGGCTCAAAGTAAACTTTACAGCAAAGATTGGCTTTTAAGCTTTGTCAAAACAACACAGGGGAACAGCCATCGATGCTACCATCCAATGCACATATTGCATCGGTACCACTCAACTTTTGAAAAAAAATCACTTTTTTTGTTAAATATTGTAAGTGCACTTTTTCCAAATTTTTATACTTCACATCAGCAGATGCCACGTGCCTTGTGGAAGCTGTAAAAGGTTGTCCCGTTCTAAACTCTAGTGTCGTTATATTTTTCTAGTCCTTCGGGGTTATTGATTCCAGCATTTTAAGTGTTGAAAAATGAGTACTGTTCAAGCCGTTGCTAAGCGATGTGAGCGATATTGCAATTTTTCATTATCCCTCATGTACAGACTCGATCAAACCGAGTCTGCAATTTTGTAGTTATTTTGTTGTAGTAAACGCTTCTTGTGTTCACAAATCTCTAGATTATTTTTACCATTCCAGCGGAAATTACAAAATTCCTGATTTTGTGTGTCCAAATTTGCATGTACAGTTTACATTTAAAATTTCTTACAGAAGAAGAAGTCCGTACGTTACCAGCTGAAAGACCTCGGCACCATCACACTTCTTACTGGACAGATGAAAGTAATACACAATACAAACAGATGGAGAAGGATCTAACGTGTATATACTGCTCAAAAGTTTTAAGTAATCTGGCCAATTTGAAACGTCATTTAAGAATACATGAAGGAATTTATCCGTACCAGTGTCAGTTTTGTGACAAGAAGTTTTCAGACGCTAGTAACGCCAAGAAACACGGTATTATTCACTATTTGGAGAAACAACAGACATAACAAATAGATAGTTTAGCTCAGTAATGACAATATCGAAAGATTATTTTAGAAATTGTGGTTCTTATTTTTGTACTTTTTAAGCGATTAGAACTTATCGTATGCAGTATCATGCTATGAAAATAAAAGAGGCATTTTGATCGGACCAATTTATCAAACTACTTGATGATATCAAATAATTCTACAATTACGCTTAATGTTATGAAATATATCGGCTGCAACAGATGATAACAAATTTACACTTTCTATTATTAGCGTAAGGTAAAATCACTCGACGTCTGATATTTATCTTAGAACGTTTATCCCCATAAAAAATATTTTTATTAGCCGGCCTGAGCACAACCAGTTTCCCTAATATTTTTTTCAAGTTAAATTTGATTTTGAAGAAGTAGGTGCAAGAATAGCTTTATAATACAGTTTGTAATATGGTGGTTCGGAGACCTTGTAAATTTTGTATGATCAGGTTTGGTTCCCTTCTACACTACACTAATGAGTACGATATCAAAGTTTGACTTGGAATGACTAAGAATGTGACCCATACTTCTGTATTTAATAATTAATTTATAACATTTTCGAGATGTTCTTAGGTCATCGTGTCCCTCTTTGTATAACAAATTTACATCGTCGAATATTTCCGTTATCAAAGTATGTACATGTCGCCCATATCTTCAACAATTACCCACCCTCTCCCAGTCATATGTGTAAGTGATCGAATTTTAATATGAAATGTGTGAGATAAATAAATTTAAAAAATGTTTGTTTATTGTCAATAAAGACATTCAAAGTATTGAGTTTTAAAGTATTGAGGTTTGTCTCGTTATGTTAGATTACATGACATTAGTAAATGTTACGTAAAGTTTTTGCCTTATTTCAGTATTAATGGCTCACTATGCACCTCTTTCCAGTGTCTGAATTCATTTCCTCTTGGTATTGCTTTTTTGTATCACTTCTTCCTTTTCTTATTAAGACGAACATATATAGAACATACGAAAATGAATATGTAAAGAATGCACGTCGTAACTCCTGCAACAAACACACAACAGAATATTGAGTGTGATTGGATAGAAAAAGAGACAACGTGTTCCTGGTTATCTTCGATTTCTTTCTGTCCGTCTTTTTCGTGACGTGGGACAATTTCTTTCAAAAACATATTCTCTGAAAGCGATGACTGAATTTGTATCAAACTTGCCATGAATGATTCTTATGTGATCCACTACAAACGTTGTTGAAATGGTTCCTGTTAGTTTAACGAGAGCTCCAAAAAAAGAGGGGGTTTCGAAAATGCAAAGTTCAAAAGTATCTTGTCTGAAATTACAAGACTTTTAAAATTGACATTTGATGTGTAATATCATCAAGTATTAATCTACAAAAAAGTAAGTAAATAGATAAATAAACAAACGTCTTTTGGAACATCATTGGCCTTATCCTGACGTACATGGATTTTGCTAGTGTTTTTATAGTGAAACGTCAAAAATCTTCTCTGAAACTTTAAGGACTGCAGCTTTAATACTTGGTGTGGAGAGTGTCATGACCAGTAAATGACCCCTATGAAGTCAATAAATGGTGAAAATCACGATGACATTGACTAAGATAATCTCGTCTGAACAATAACTATAGCACGATATGACCTATAATTTAAAGATTATAGTATGGAAGTTGGTCATGACTAGTTGATGACTCCTGTGGGTATTTAGGTCAATTGTTCAACAGCCCCCAATACCTTGACCACTTAAAGCTTATCTTTTTAATAATGCTTTAGCTTACAGTCGTTAGAAAAAGATGGTCCTTCTTGATTTTTATGCCCCCGCCATATAATGGCTGGGGCATATAGTGTTACTCTGTTCCGTCATTCTGTCATTCCGTCATCATCAGTTTTCGTTCATTATCTTAGTAACGGTTGCACACATTCAACTCAAATTTTGCATATGGATATGGCATGAGAAAATACAGGTCAAGTTCGAATTTGGTCATGGTTCCATGATTTTTGGTAGAGTTATGCCCCTTTTACTTAAACTAATATGAAATTTTCAGTTTCCGTTCGTTATCTCCCCAACGGTATTACACATTCAACTCAAACTTCAAATTTGGATAGGTCATAAGAAAATACAGGTCAAGTTCGGATTAAGTTCGAATTTGGTCATGGTTTAATGATTTTTGGCAGAGTTATGCCCTTTAACTTTGAAAATAATATGAAATTTCAGTTTCCATTCATTATCTCCCAAACGGTATTACACATTCAACTCAAAACTTGCCATATGGATATGGCATGAGAAAATACAGGTCAAGTTCGAATTTAGTCATGGTTCCATGATTTTTGGTAGAGTTATGCCCCTTTTACTTTGAAAATATTATGAAATTTTCAGTTTCCGTTCATTATTTCCCCAACGGTATTTCACATTCAACTCAAATTTGAAATATTGATACGTTAAAAGAACGCGCAGACCACGTTTGAATTTGGTCATGGTTCAATGATTTTTGGCAGAGTTACGTCCCTTTAACTTTGAAAATAATATGAAATTTTCAGTTTCCGTTCATTATCTCCCCAACGGTATTACACATTCAACACAAACTTGACATATGCATATGTCATGAGAAAATACGGATCAAGCTCGAATTTTGTCATGGTTTAATGATTTTTTTTGGCAGAGTTATGCCCCTTTTACTTTAAAAAAATATGAAATTTTCAGTTTCCGTTCATTATCTCCCCAACGGTATTACACATTCAACTCAAACTTCACATATGGATACGTCAAATGAATAAGCAGGTCAAGTTTGAATTTGGTCATGTTTTAATGATTTTTGGCAGAGTAATGCTCCTTTAACTTTGAAAATAATATGAAATTTTCAGTTTCCGTTCATTATCTCCCCAACGGTATATATTCAATTCAAATTTGACATATGGATACGTTAAAAGAACGCGCAGGCCAAGTTTGAATTTAGTCATGGTTCTATGATTTCTTTGCAGAGTAATGCCCCTTTTATATGGATATGTCAAAACAATGCGCAGGTCAACTTCGAATTTTGTCATGGTTTGATGATTATTGGCAGAGCAATGCCCCTTTAACTTTGAAAAAAGAGGAAATTTTCAGTTCACATTCAATATCTCCCCAACAGTTGTACATATTCAACTCAAATTAAAGATATGTCATAAGAATGCATTTGTCAATTTCGAATTTAGTCATGGTTTGATGATAGCTGACAGAGTTATCCCTCTTGAACTTTGAAAAAAAAATCTTAAGTTTCCGTTCATTTTCTCCCCAATGGTTGTACACATTCAACTCAAATTTGACATAGAGATACATCTTAGGAATAAGCAGTGCAAGTTTGAATTTGGTCGTGGTTCAATGATTTTGAACAAAGTTATCTTTCTTGAATTTTCAGTTACAGCACTCATACTTTTGTGGAAATGTATGTAGCCATTCATTTGGCTACAAATATGCAATATGCAATTTACAAAAGGTTAACACTGAATAGTTTCAGTGCCTTGAACTTTGTATAAAACTGGTTTGTGTTAACATTGAATAGTTTTAAGGGCTTTGAACTTAAATTGAAAAAAAAAAATTGTGCAAACAAATTTGGAACTAAATATTATAACATCTGAAATTTTGGTTGCATGCGGGGGCATCCGTGGCGTGACGACACATTTCTAGTTAGATCAAAGGTCAAGGTCATTGTTGCCTTGACTTAAGACAAGCCTAATACGGTAGCTACTTTGAGACCGGTTCTGTCCAATATATAAAGATTAAGATAGAGATAGGTCATGACAAGTAATTGACCCCTTTTGATTTTATGGTCGGTCGGTCAAAGGTTCCAATAGCCAAAAATAGTAAGGCTTGTCTGCCCGATACCTTCAAAACGCTGTGGCCTACATTTAGAATAATTGGTACGGAGGTTACTAGTTGATTACTCTTCGTGGACACTTGGTCTGGTCAAGGTGTCATTGCTTCGACCACCAAAAACTTATCTGTTTAATAGCTAGAGATCTATTTGGTCTGCAATCGTTCGATTTGCTGTAGAGATTTGTAAAGTCTAGTAAACGATCTTTATTGATTTTAAGGTTAAGGATCATAGTTACACTTGTCTTGACTTCTACAAGCCTGTCCGATTAATAACTGAGAACTCTTTGGTCTACCATTTTAATATTCGGTTTGGAAGTTGGTCATGACTAGTTTACGATTTTTAGGTCAGTCTGTCAAAGGTCAACGTCACCGTTTGTTCACCATTAAAAGTTGGCCTTTATAGTCCCTTTACACTTTGAAAATATATTGGATCTCGTTATATTAATTTACAGCATGTTACACCAATTCAATTCTGTACTCTGGTGACTTAAGGCCAAAACTTCCTTGTTTACTGTTACCAGTACTATGTAGATAGGTATTAGAGAAAAACATTTGTTTGATAAGACATGTTATCAGAGACAGTGACTAGATCTCACTCGCCCACGTTAGGCGCTTGATATCCAATTACATAAAAACAGTACCTCAACTAATAAAAATGATTATATTGAAATATGTTGTACTTACATTTTTATTAGTCGACTATCAGGGAAGTGCATGTTACAGAGAATTTACGTTACGTCAATCATGCTTTGTCTGAGGTAATCATCAACATTGCAGTGTATACATGTCTCTTCTGCTAGATTATTTCGTCTGCTACCTGTTTATTATTTCGATGCAATTAGATGATTTAAAAGGGTTCAAAGTGAACACAAATTGGAGGATTGAATAACACAAGTAAGATTTTTAATTATATTGAATTACTTTCGTATTTCTATGAAAAAGAGTGTAAAAAAGGTGAAACTTTGTTAAAAAAAACAGAGTATTTGAGAATATGAACTATTATTATATAATTGTTTGAACAGGAGCCAGAATTCGAAAATTTGTATGAGTTACTAAGCAAAACAGTAAAACTATTACATAGGTACTTCACACTATAGAAATTGTATTCAAGGAAGTAGTTAATGATTTGATGTGCATGATGTACTTTTGTTTTAATACCTTTATCCATATGAGTTCGGGAACGGGTCCGCAGGTTAAATTGCAGCACATATTTCGGATCCTGTAACGACTTTAAAAATAATTATCCTACATAGAAATATCTTTTCATATTAATCAGGTGTAACACGAATGGCTTAAAAATAGGCTGAACTTGACGCTTGTAAAAGTGTTTTTTATCTTGAAATTGTAAAAGTCTACTTTATTGATCAATTGTTATTTTTAGCTTATTTTATTCGGCATCGTACATGCTTTGAATACTAAAGCTTAAAAGGCCACTTTATAACGAGAAAACGGTGACTCAAAATAGTGTAACCTACATAAGCGCTAAACGCGTCTGCATCATATATAGCAAACTTAAAAGATAAATATTAATTTGAAACATTCACTCCAATAATCAAATGTTTTTGTTAGGTGGTGAAGCTTATATTTCGAGTCAGGGATTGTCATGAAAACCGAGAATGATTCAAATAAATTCAAATACTTTCTGATTTTATCTTTCCTTTTCAGGAACTGATTTTCGGACACATATTTTGAGACAAAATGTGGCAGCTTTGCTCATCTTTGCAAGCGATGTTGTGTTTAGTAAGCACTGTGCTGTTTTTCTGGGCTCTCTGGACTCAATTCGGGACAGACGATTACGCAATTCTTTGTGAAAAGTTATCGGAAGAAAACTCAATCGTCTATGTGATTTTACAACTTTTAAGTTCATTGTTCGAAGTGACTTGGACGCTTTTAAAATTAACGAGTATTTTGATGGAATATTGTGTAAACTGTGCTGTTTGCTTGCTGAACATGGTTTCAGAATTGTTATATCTTGTAAATAGGTAATAGATTAAAATTGTTAAGTCAACTTTGTACCCTATCGACCGTAAATCTACTTTATATTACGGATATTGAGTCGCCTAGTGCTTCCAACTTGTTATGCTCAGCATGATCAAAGCAGACGTTTTTTTATGCTGCTTAGCATATATATGCTTCTGCATAGTGACCGTTAAAAAGGTTTCGAAAAAAGAGAGAGGACATATTTATGAATTTTAATTCGTACCAGGGATTTGTTAAATTTCGTATATGTTAGTGTTCATTAGTAAGAATGTTAGAAATTGCAAAATTTAGGTTCTGAAATCAGTTTGTCTGGTAGGATTGCAGTATTTCAATGAATGGTAACGTATTTTCAGACTAGTAAATCGTTTTTCAATAAAAAGTAAGTTTAAACACTCCATTGTTCATTAGCATTTACCAAAATAAAGTGGTCGAAGGACTTCGCCGTTTTTAGCCGATTTAATTTTATTAGCTCATCTGTCACAAAGTGACAGGGTGAGCTTTTGTGATCGCTTTTCGTCCAGCGTCCGTCCGTCGTCCGTCCGTCCGTCGTCCGTCCGTAAACTTTTACTTTAATTGACATCTCCTCATAAACCACTAAGCCAATTTCATCCAAACTTCACAGGAATGTTCCTTTGGTGGTCACCTTTAAAAATTGTTCAAAGAATTTAATTCCATGCAGAACTCTGGTTGCCATGGCAACCAATAGAAAGAAAAAACTTTAAATATCTTCTTTTTAAAAAAAAACCATAAGAGCAAGAGCTTTGATATTTGGCATGAAACATCTTCTACTGAGTGTCTACCAAGTTTGTTCAAATAAAAGCCCTGGGGTCAAAATTGGCCCCGCCCCAGGGGGGTCATTGATTTTCCCTATATGCATATAGTAAAAACTTTAAAAAAATTCTTTTAAAGAACTCAAGAAGCTATGGCTAAGATATTGAGCATCAAACATGTTCTAATAGGTGTCTACCAAGTTTGTTCAAATAAAAGCCCTGGGGTCAAAATTGGCCCCGCCCCAGGGGGTCATTGATTTTCCCTATATGCATATAGTAAAAACTTAAAAAATCTCCTTTTAAAGAACCAAATGAGTTAGAGCTAAGATATTTAGCATGAAACATGTTCTAATAAGTGTCTACCACGTTTGTTCAAATAAAAGCCCTTGGGTCAAAATTGGCCCCGCCCCGGGGGGTCATTGATTTTCCCTATATGCATATAGTAAAAACTTAAAAAATCTTCTTTTAAAGAACTCAAAGAGCTATGGCTAAGATATTTAGCATCAAACATGTTATAATAGGTGTCTACCAAGTTTGTTCAAATAAAAGCCCTGGGGTCAAAATTGGCACCGCCCCGGGGGTCATTGATTTTCCTTATGTGTACAGCAAAAACTTAAAAATCTTCTTTGAAAAAACCCAAATAGCTAGAGTTAAGATATTAAGCATGAAACATCTTTTAGTGAGTGTCTACAAAGTTTGTTCAAATAAAAGCCCTGGGGTCAAAATTGGCCCCGCCCCGGGGGTCATTGATATTCTTTATATGTGTATAGCAAAACCTTAAAATCTTTTTTGAAAAAACCCAAATAGCTAGAGTTTAGATATTAAGCATGAAACATCTTCTAGTAAGTGTCTACAAAGTTTGTTCAAATAAATGCACTGGGGTCAAAACTGGCCCGGCCCCAGGGGTGTCATTGTTTTTAACTATGTGTGTATAGTAAAAACTTTAAAAAAAATCTTCTTTTAAAAAGCCCAATGAGCTAGATCTTAGATGTTTAGCATGAAACATCTTCTAGTAAGTGTCTACCAAGTTTGTGCAAATAAAAGCCCTTGGGTTAAATTGGCCCTGCAACATTGGGGGGTGGGGGGGTGGGGGGCCTATATACAGGTGAGCGACCTCAGGGCCATCATGGCCCTCTTGTTTTAGAAAATCCCAACTTATGCTATCTTATGAATAGTAACATTTAACTGAATCAGCGCAGCCAATTCTGTGTTTGAAATGTTGTTGTTTTTTTTGTTTGTTTTATTATTATTATTATTATTATTATTATTATTATTATTATTATTATTATAAGCTCACCAGAGCCGAAGGCTCAGGGTGAGCTATAAGTATCAAAGGGGGATGCTCTGGCGACGTCGTCATGCGTCAACAATTGTCTTCTTCTCTGAAACTACTAAGCAGATTCACTTCAAATTTGGTCTGTAGCATCCTTGTGACAGTCACACTTCAATTTGCTGATGTCATTCCAATTGGCCCCTTTTAGGGGTCAGCAGAGCTAAAAATAGAAAAACCTTTAAACATCTTCTTCAACAGAACTAATTGATGGATGATCACCAACTTTGTCTGTAGCATTCTTGGGTAGTGTTTTATTAGCTCACCTGTCACACAGTGACAGGATGAGCTTTTGTGATCGCTTTTCGTCCGGCGTCCGTCCGTCCGTCATCAATCCGTCCGTCCGTAAACTTTTACTTTAATTGACATCTCCTCATAAACCACTAAGCCAATTTTATCCAAACTTCACAGGAATGTTTCTTTGGTGGTCACCTTTAAAAATTGTTCAAAGAATTTAATTCCATGCAGAACTCTGGTTGCCATGGCAACCGAAAGAAAAAACTTTAAATATCTTCTTTTAAAAAACCCAAAGAGCAAGAGCTTAGATATTTGGCATTAAACATCTTCTAGTGAGTGTCTACCAAGTTTGTTAAAAAAGCCCTGGGGTCAAAATTTGCCCCGCCCCAGGGGGTCATTGATTTTCCCTAAATGCATCATAGTAAAAAATTAAAAATCTTCTTTAAAAGAACCCAAAGAGCTAGAGCTAAGATATTTAGCATGAAACATCTTCTAATTAGCGTCTACTAAGTTTGTACAAATAAAAGCCATGGGGTCAAAATAAGCCCCGCCCCAGGGGGTCATTGATTTTCCCTATCTGCATACAGTAAAAACTTTAAAAAAATCTTCTTATAAAGAACTCAAAGAGGTAGAGCTAAATCATTTAGCATGAAACATGTTCTAATGGGTGTCTTCCAAGCTTGTTCAAATAAAAGCCCTGGGGTTTAAACTGGCCCCGCTCCTGGGGCCTATATACAGGTGAGCGACCTCAGGGCCATCATGGCCCTCAAGTTTGCTCATATTAATTTGATTGGCCCCTTTTAGGGGCCGCTAAAGTTAAAAATAAAAATACTGTTAAATGTCTATTTCTAGAGAACTAATTGATGGATGATCACCAAACTTTGTCTGTAGCATTCTTGGGTAGTTTTTAACAAGTTTGCTATCATTATTTTGATTGGCCACTTTTAGGGGTCTCTAAAGCTAAAAATAGAAAAACCTTTAAACATCTTCTCCTACAGAACTAATTGATGGATGATCACCAAACTTTGTCGGTAGCATTCTCGGGTAGTGTTTTATCAAGTTTGCTCATATTAATTTGATTGGCCCCATTTTAGGGGCCACTAAAGCTAAAAATAGAAATACCGTTTTAAATGTGTCTCATCTAGAGAACTAATTGATGGACGATCACCAAACTTTGTCTGTAGCATTCTTGGGTAGTGTTTAATCAAGTTTGCTGAAATTATTTTGATTGGCCCTTTTTAGGGGCCCCAAAAGCTAAAAATAAAATTGCCTTTACATATCTTCTTCTACAGAACTAACTGATTGATGATTACAAAACTTTGTTTGTAGCATTCTTGAGTAGTCTTTTATCAAGTTTGCTCATATGAATTTGATTGGCCCCTTTTATGCGCCGCTTAAACTAAAAATGGAAATACCTTTAAATGTCTATATCTACAGAACTAATGGATGGATGATCACCAAACTTTGTTTGTAGCATTGTTGGGTAGTCTTTTATCAAGTTTGCTCATATTTTTTTTGATTGGCCCCTTCTAGGGGCCCCATTAAATTAAAAATAGATAAACGTTTAAACGTCTATTGCTACAGAACTAATTGATGGATGATCACCATACTTGTCTGTAGCATTCTTGGGTAGTCTTTTATCAAGTTTGCTCATATTAATTTGATTAGCCCCTTTCAGGGTCCGCTTAAGCTAAAAATAGAAACACCTTTAAACATCTTCTACTATAGAACTAATTGATGGATGATCACCAAAGTTTGTCTGTAGCATTATTGGATTATTGGCTAGTCTTTTATCAAATTTGCTCATATTAATTTGATTAGCCCCTATTAGGGGCCGCTAAAATTAAAAATAGAAATACGTTTAAACATCTTCTCCTACAGAACTAATTAATGGATGATCACCAAACTTTGTCTGAAGCATTTTTGGGTAATCTTTTATCAAGTTTGCTCACATTAATTTGATTGGCCCCTTTTAGGGGCCGCTAAAGCTTAAAATAGAAAAACCTTTCAACATCTTCTACTTCAGAACCCATTGATGGATGATCACCAAACTTTGTCTGTAGCATTCTTGGGTACTGTTTTATCAAGTTTGCTTATATTAATTCGATAAACCCCTTTTAGGGCCACTAAAGCTAAAAATAGAAAAAACCTTCGAACATCATTTCCTACTGAAATAATTGATAGATGATCACCAAACTTTGTAGCATTCTTAGGTAGTCTTTTATCAAGTTTGCTCATCTTAATTTGATTAGCCTCGTTTAAGCTAAAGCTTAAATGCCTCAGGTCATGGCATTTCTTCAAATTATGTTTTAAACATGTTCTATGCTCAAATTTAATATTAGAATGTATTGACATTCAAACCATGAAAAGCAGTTGTTTCTAGTGAGCGACTCAGGGCCCTCTTGTTATTATTATTATTATTATTATTATTATTATTATAAACAGTCGATTTACAAGAGTAGTAATCATTTACCACGATTCGTTTGAAATACTGAAATGCTGCTGGACAAAAAATGAATTCAAAATCTAATGAATTTGAATGTGTTGTGAATGCATTTGATTACGTATAAATTTATTTTACTTCTCCAGGTGAACTTTATGATTTCTTTAAATAGATACTTAAAAGTCTGTCTGCAGTACTTTTATTTTGATCTCTTTTGAATTATTGAAATTGCTTACAATAAAATTTGCATTGATTGTTGGTTTTGCTTGGGAGTTATATAGTGGATATTTTAGGAATATTTGTTACTTTAAGACAAACTGTAGTTTATTTATTTCTAGACTTGAAATTGCTACATTTAGTATCTTACTTTGTTTCTGGACAAGTTGTATATGTATGTATGTATGTATGTATGTATGTATGTTGGTGTGTATGTGCGTCTTCTCTCTTTCCCTCGATACGTTCACGTCATTAAGAAGGCATATGGCATCGGCAGATGATAGTTCTAAGAACCAATGCTACGTTGTAAGACGGCAAGTTCTCATGCTTTCGACAGGGGTTACGTATAAGGCAGCACGACTTAGCTTGTATGACGTTAACTGCCGGTGTCCT